CGACCACTACTACAGACTTTTCTGAGCACTTCGGGCCATAGGCGGTTCACTGACTCACGCAAGGAAAGTGGCACAGCCTCCAATCAGGTGTGGCACAGCCACCCAACTTGTCACAGTCAGCGAAGAGTGGCCCACCTGCCCAGAGAAACCGACGTTGCAGCATGCCAACACTCAGCTACTTGCATCATCGTTTGCTCTTTCCTGTGATCTGAGGTCTCAGCTACAACACGGCACCAGCTATCCAGCCCGAGTGCCCTCTGCTGGTGTTCTTTGCCTATAGTCGTCCTGCGTTGCTTGAGCTTCGTGCTTGGTCTTGAGACTCTGCAAAGCATCACATGTACACCGCAGCTGTCAGTTCGAACTGTTGCTACCGGAAACAGCGGCAGGAGTATTGCAACATGCATTACAGACACGCCTTGCAGAAGCTACATTCCGTAACAAACTGCGTTTTTGCGAAGAGCACAGCTCACCACTTGGCCGCGTGTCACAGACTCTGGCCCATCAGCTACAGCTGAGACCATGGACAAACCTCCCAGTCTGGGCCCCTTTCTGGTGCTCAGCGACAGCACCTTGCAGCACATGCTGCGGGGACACACTTACGGAGTGTTCCCGCTGCTGACGGGACAGGTCTTAAGCTGTCCAGGCGCCGCCCTCAACATCTCTGCCGGCAGCGTCCCCTCCATCTTGGAGCTCCTCCACTGGCAATTTGGGCTCTTTGGGCCGCACAAATTCACAGCGGCAGTGCAGAGTCCGCCGGTGGCCTCCATCTTGGAGAACCACCTCGACGGACAAATCAACGTTCGCTTCATTCCGCTGTCCCGAAGCCTGCGCCCGGAGAAGCAAATCAATTATGACTACCTGATCGATGGCAGGGTCCAATATGGATTTGCGGACAAGAACCTGCACAACCAGGAAATCATGGACCTGGCCCAGATGCCTGGTGTAGGAGGGGTAGAATGGCTCTACAACTCCAAGAATCTCCATTTCCGCCCCGACGTCGCGGACATTGTCATCCCGGCGCTTGTAACCAGAGCCATCGAGGAAATGCGCAACACCCCAGGACTGCCTGTCCTCGTGGTAGCTGGTTGGAACGCTCGCGAGCAGGACATGCATGTCGAAATGCTCGCTGCCCAGGCTCTGTCACAATGCCGAACGGTCCGTGACCTTTCGGAGGTAGCCATGCAATACGGACATGGCCCCTGGGGAATGCGCTTCACACATCTCCCAGAATGGGAAGCCGCCCCTGTCCCAGCCCTCCTCTTCCAGACCTACGTTCACGACGAAAAGCCGGAACCGGCCCAAGTTGCGGCCAAAATGTTTGCTGGCTTCACCCGCAGATTCTGTAATGATGATGTTCTTCGGGCTACCCTGCGGCAACTCGCAGGAAAATATGGCTCCAATCTGCTAGATCGCCTCAGCCAACCTGCTCATCGAGCAGACGTGTTCCGCTACGTCTACCACTACCAGCACGGCGGCCTTTACGTCGACATCAAATGTGGCTTCGTGGTACCTTGGGAACAGGTACTCGTGTATCTCGCAGCAGATTGGAGCACAGCTCACTCAAAGAAGGCAGGTGAAGTGGGTCACAGACCCTCCCCACCTGGCCAACTCCCACAGGAGTTCATGGTCATGGCCATAGGAGTCAAAGGAGATCACATTTTTCAAGGCATCATCTATGGCAAGCCCAGACACCCCTTGATGAGGGAAGCCATACAGCACGCCTTCAGCCGTCAGGTTATGACAGCGAAGGCAAACTTGGAATACATGACCTTCTGCAAATATCTTTGGCAGATCTTGGGTCGTGACCTTGGTCACTCCCCTCAGCCGGGATGGAATGTTTCCACCAAATTTGGCCCCATTTACCTGTTCTCGGAGCGCTGGGACAAGCGAGTGAAGAACAAGAAGTACGACAATGATGGCCACTATTTCGTGACTACCAACAACACGACCGTTGCATATACCCGGTGCTGGAAGTGGCTGAAGGGATTTCAGGGAGACCCCACCACCAAAGAACGCACAGACCGCATGCTGCAGAGCCAGCTCCCTGACATCTCCCTTGAAATCCAGTCTGACAGACCTGAAGAGCACAGCTCACCACAGCCGCCTAGGTCACAGACCATGGCAACGGCCTCATCGGCTCCCCCTCCTCCCACTCAGGAGGATATTGAAGCCTATGTGGCCGACAGCATCCAGTACAACTCCTTTGCAGAGATCATGGCTACGGTCCGTGAAACCCACCACTACAACCAAGACCTTACAGAGCAGGATGTGCTGGAGCTTATCCCTCGAGGATTAGGGCAAGTGAAAGTTTCGGGGGACATGTGGTTATGCTGCTTGCACTGCCGGAAGCACAACAGGCAGGTGCAATTCAGCACTAGCCACGGCCTTAAGAACCACTTTGTCACTCAGAAGCACAACCCAGCACTCAGTGCTACGCCCGACCCCCACACTCCTCCCCCTCCCCCTCCCCCCAAGCTCCCGCAGGAAATTCCTCTTCCCCCCAGCAGTACCAGGACCAAAGGTGTAGACAAAGCAGCCGGCTTTGAGCCGCCACCCTCCCCCCCGTGCCCTTTCACTTCCTCAGCAGCTGAAAAGGCGGCTTTCAAAGCAGGCCAAGCAGAGACACCGAAGGCGGCCCAGGCGCTTCCGGTTAAGGCCCCACCGCCCATGGTGGCCACCCAATGCCCCCCGCCCTCTTCATCATCGGCAGCACCAGCTCCCCCTCCGGCGATTCCAGTTCCCCCGATCCTTCCGCACCCCCCCAAGTCCGTCTCTCCCCCAACCCCCGCCACCCAGGCCGCTCCGCGCTCCCACACGCCCCCTCCTCCCTCTTCCCGTCCCCCGTCAGCATATGAGCCTCCGGAATCCAATGCGGAACTCGTCGGCTATGTCCCACAGCCGGCTCCACGGCTGACAGTACGTTACACACGGCAGGAGCTGGCTCAGCTGCTGAGCTCCCAGTCCCATCAGGACTGGATTCGGGCCTTAGCTTCCATCAACATCCTGGTGGCTCCAGTCATTCTTGGCGGCCTCACCAACCAGGAACAACAGACCCTTTGGTCTACCAGGATGGAAGCACTCCGAGAAGTTCCGCCGCTGTTCTCTGCCATCAAGTCCGTAAGGACGCAAACCGGCCTCACATGGGACACCGCCATGTCGGTGAGGCGGGTCCTCACAAGCGATGGGAAGGTCACCATCGCCACAGGCGCGGGTGACGCCTACCGTGAGCTGGACGCACCAACAAAGGTGCATGGCCTTATCCATGCCTGCTTCAACAAGATGTGGGACGAAAAGGCTTTTCGGCAGCACTTCCCCTCGTGGGTCGAGTTCAATATGATCGCCACCACCATAGTGGCAGTCTACAATGAGACGGCCAAATCAGCCGGACTCCCAGCTCGTGTCTTCCGGGTCAAACCCGACAAAAATGCCTACTCCATCATGAAGATGCGGATACAGCATGACAAGGGGAACGAAGAGGACAAGCGCATGGCCAAACTGGCTGCTGCTGCCCCTAACAAGCGCCCACAGATGCAGGAGGCTGACACAGAGGGCAAGCGGCAGCGCGATGGCCCCTCCTCATCCTCCTCGTCCCAGTGGGCCAGACAGGCTCGCTCATCTCAGGACGACGACTGGGACTGGTGGCAGCAGTGGTCCTGGCATGGTTACTCTCAGCAGTGGCCAAAAGGTCATGACCAGTGAGGGCGGTAATATGTCACAGACTCTATGATCCCTTATGTCACAGACTCAGGGAATTCGGCACTCTTCCGACGCCTAGCACATCTTTTCGGAAGAATGTGATCCGCGTGCTAGCCTCGCTTAAAACAGCACTTTGCGCTTCAGCGAATTGCCCACATCCTAGCTGCCCAAAGTCTCACGTCACCGGAGTTGCTTCAGGTACCAGCGGTCATCCGCACATGACCCTTACGGCCTTCTGTCTTCAACATGAGTAATCCGTGTGGGACGCCACGAGACGGATACTCCAGGTGGCGGCTTCGTCTGAGGTACGGCCTAATTGTTGAGACAGGTGCACAGATGGACGCGTCTGTTCACACCAAGGTGTCGGAGAAGGAAGCTTCTTTGTAGCAGTAGCAGTTGCAGTAGTATGTCAAGTTCGAGCTGATTAGAGAGACCTGAGCGATGCATGCTAGAAGCAGTTTCACGAGTGCATGAGACCAAAGGCGCCCGCAAAGTGCAGAGCACGCTCGCGCAGCGTTCAATTGAAATAGTAGTAGTAGTAGTAGTAGTAGTAGTAGTAGTAGTAGTAGTAGTAGTAGTAGCAGAAGTAGTAGCAGCATACTGCAGTGTAGTCTAGTATTGAAACAAAAGACAGCGTCACATTATACATAAAGGTTCCTGCCTCATACACATACACATAGAGATAGAGATCGAGATAGAAATAGAGATGCAAATGGAGATGGAGACCGAGATAGGTAGGATGGCAGATAGATAGATGCATAGATAGGTAGGTAGAGGAATAGAGAGATAGACAGATAGATAGATACTGATTACAGATATAGCTCTAAAAGATAACAGATACTACATACCGAAGATATAGAAAGATGTAAAAAATGACGAAAATACTGAAGATGCGTATATACATGTGTATATTTCTACACATATCGAACATCACAACAAGGTTCAGAAGACATATGAGATATAGGAGACATAAGAGGTATAAGTTAGATAGATATAGATACAGATACAGACATAGATGTAGACGATTTAGATAAAAATATAGATGTAGAGACAGATGTGCATATATACATATGCAGAGGGATAGATTTGTATGTGCATATAATAATAGATATACATATATATATATATATATATATATACATATGTATAGATATACACATATACATATATAACCGGCATCTGAAGCCATGGTTCGTAGCAAGCCAGAATCAGAACACATCGCTTTGCACGAGATTGATGTCTGCACACAAGCAACCCTTCCGCCACGCTCACAAGCTTACATCCTGCATGTGTGTGTCTCTCGATCATGTTAAGCTGCTATATTGCGTCCTGCAGTCCTGCAGTACTACTGGCATGTGGGCTCTGACCACAACGCTGACCACGCTGCAGCAGGCATCTGTATGTCGCCGTGTAGCATGTGCACAGTCTCTTGAGCTATTTCTTGATTGAGGGCTGGGCTTCTTGAGTTTGCCATACTTGCTGGCCTCCTCAGCCGTCTCCTCCTGCAGGTCCTCTGCAGCTCGAAGGCACATACCAAGCTACAGGTGCAGGACGAGGTGCCTCGTCCACATCTCCAGCACCGACCATGTTGGTCAGAAGAAGCACGCGGGTAGGTGGCCTCACGCGGTGCCAAGAGCAGCCTAAAGAGTATCCAACAAACGACATGAAAGACATAGACTGAGTTGAGCCCACGGCAGCTTCGGAGACGCTTTGGCCTGGCAAACGGCGGTTCACATCGCCCAAAAACTCCGCCCAGAAACTCTTTCCGCGGCTGCCTGCTTGGCCTCCGGCTGGCCCACAGGCGCCGCCGTCGCCTCGCGCAGCTCACGGCCCACAGCTCGGAAATCTGTCCTCAGCTCCTTGGATGCTCTGTCGCCTCGCGCTTCACACCCTCGACGATGCGACCCGTCTTTTGGTCAGTTTTTTGCATGACCTTGCACAAGAAGATTGGGAGGGCGTGGCGGGGCAACTGATGGAAGCACAAGTCTTAGGAACTGACAAGTGGGTTCACCATACCCTGACCTTCTTTTCCAAGTCCAGCACCATCCTTCCAACCTGCAACAACTAATTGCATACAGAGATCTGTGCCGGTGCATGATCTCACGGTTGAACGCTGAGCGGTAGGACCCATCTTCTTCATCATTTTCGTGGCAAAATCCTCCTGGAATTAGCTTGACTCGATGATGCGGTTGTGCAGCACACCCCCTGCGCTGCCAGTCATCCTCCTTTGCTTGGGGTGCCTTGCTGGCCTGCTGTCGGGCAGCTGCCTCCTTAGCGGCTCGGCCGATGATCACATGGCGCATCACGGTGCGGGCTCTGTCGCCGCGGCTTGGCGGCGCTTCTCCATTTCCTCTTCAGCTTTCTGGCGCATCCTTAGGCTCCAGCCCGATTCGTCAACCGACAAATCCTCCTACCTTTGGCCGGCCTCCTTCTGCAAAACTCATCGTAGTCATTCGGCTTGGCAGGGTCGTATTCCTGCGGCAAGCTAATTGCTCTGGGAGCTTTGCAGGGTACCATGTTTCGCAATCCTCATTCGGATCGCCGAACAAACTTGCAACCTCAAGACATTCAAAGAGCCCAAAGACTGAGATCACCTATGAGCTTCTTGCCTGCAGCTACTGCAACGGCTAAGGCTAAGGATAGATTCGACAAGTTAACACAGATGTCGACAGCTTGCCCAAGCGCGAACAGGGTGCAACTGGCTCGCTCAGCGGAGCTGTTGAAGCGGCCTCATGTGGGATTGATCTTTGACTATCAAGGCACGGCATACACAACAAATCTTTCAAGTGACTTGCTCATAAAGCTGTTCTGTATGATCAATTCTTAGCGATCTTATCGGCTTGGGCTCCGACCGCTGCGGAATCCGTTTCAACTGGCTTCGCCTTAAAGGCATCGAATCATTCAACACACTCGGGGCTGCAAAGCAGCACTGTAGAGGTCGATGCCACACTGGATACACTGGATGCAGCCGAAACAGCCTGCTCAGGATGCAAAAACCAGAGCAGTTATGGGACTGCCAACGGTTGCTCTTGGGATGTTTCTTCCCCAGGACAACTGCAAACTGGTTGCCTTGCTGCTGGTCTCTGCCGCTGCACGCTGTTTCATAAGCGCCTCCTTTTCCTTGGTGGGATGCAGAAAGAAAAGCCGCCTGCCGCCTGCTTAGTCTGCTGCGGAGCGGACTGCCGCAAGCTTGGAAAGATCCAAGGCCGGCATGGATGGCCTCCTCGCTGGCTCCACCTAGTGACAAGGCAGGTCCGGCCCGGCGGCCCGCACCGCTTCCAAGGAGGACTTTCGACAAACCGCTGCAGGCTGCAAACGAAAGAAAATGCGAGCACGCAAACGACAAAAGCTCCAGAGGGTGGGAACGAGTCTAGCTCGATCCAAACACACGCCACGGACACACATATCTACAAATCTACTCACTGTCCGGCTCTCAACCCCCTTACCCATGTGTCTGCTTTCCAGCCTTCTTCCGCACAGGTGGCATCATCAGCTTTGCGGCCGAGAATGTCTGCGACAGGCATCCAAGAGGTAAGTACACCACAGAGATTCCTACAGCCATGCCTGTGGCAGGGGAGTACTGCTCGGCGGCCCTTTCTCCTCGTTGAAGTCTCGAAAACACAACTTTACTCGAAATCTTCGTTCGGGTAGAGGGAGCTAGACTAAGAGCTGAGTCTCAGCAAACGAGCTTGCTGCCGAAATGACCGCACCCCCGTTGCCTTGTCGTCAGCCACTTTCTTCTCTGTCGACAGCTTCTCCACAGCGTCTGCCGTGCCACCATCAGAAGATCGGGCAGGGGCTGCACCCTGCCAAATTCAACTTTGTTCATAGTTCTTCAACATGTCAGCATCGCCTTCTTGATTCCCTCTCTCTCTCTCTGATTCCCTCTCTCTCTCTCTCTCTCTCTCTCTCTCTCTCTCTCTACGGACTCTTTTGATCTCTTTTGTCTTTTTTGACTGTTGTCACAAGATTCGAAACACAAGAAGAGCTGCACGATCACCATTCAGGCACACGGCCAAAGAAATCGCCGACTCACGAGACGGGCCACCTTGGCCAAGCCAAAGCACGAATCAACGCAGTCCGCGCGTGCCCGCATAGTCCAAGCCAAAGCCAAGAAGCTGAATCTGCTCGTGTGAACTCTGATTTTGAAGAGTCTTCTCCTCAGTTCCAAGACGTTATGCGTGTACTGGATGCTCGTGACTTCTTTTTGCGCCTCCTGAGGCAGCGGCTGGCGCATGTCGCCTCCAAAACTCCTCTGAGAGTTTGGGCTTGGGCGACGTGCACTTCGCCGGACCCAGATCTCCTAAACCTCGCATAGATATACCAAGCGGATACAAGCTGCCCAAAACTTTCCTCCGCACTTCCGCGCCACCAGGTTTCGCCAAAAACTGCTGGTGCTCTTCTTCAGCGACATAGAAAACGTCGCCCGGGGACGTCTGAAAGCTTGAAGCGGCCAAGATTTCAGTTGTGATCGTGCATCCTGCATGTTTGCCCGGACGTTCCAGCAACGCCTGGTACGCTTGCCGGCTAAATTCCATGATCTCCTTCTGCTCCTTGTTGAAATAATATAAGCCGCTGCGGAACTGAGGCCCATTTGCTGATGCTGTGGGATCATGTGACTCCCAGAACCATCGCAGCAGGTCGATCAAGCCGATGATACCTGGCCCATCTACACGATTTAAGCGCGACAGAAAGACTCAGTTTCAAGAAGTCCAGGATCAAGTTAAAGTCGAAATAAAAACAAGAAGCCGCCTGCCTGGATCGAAGATGACTTGCACGGCCTGGGCAGCTCCTGTGCCCTCACTGCAGACTTCATCGTAGGTAGGGTTCGGTGTATATCCAGCAGCATACCCAGCAGATGTGCTATACACTCCGGGGAGGCGCCAGGCACCGCGTTCTGCTTGCCAGAAGCATCCACATGCAAAAACAAATTTCTGCATCCCTTCGGGATAGGGCCCATGCAAGGGCGTTTTTAAAACAAAATGTGATGTTACAAGCTGGACAGCTCGCCGACGCCCAGGCAGCGCGCTCTTTGGGCCAACGGTCGGGATCGGCTGCATCGTAATGTCGGCAGCGGAAGCTGAACCTTCTTCAAAGGACTTGGACGTGCTTGACCCTCTCGGCGGGGTGGCTGGTGGAGGCAAAGGAGGATTCTCGTCAGGAAAAGTACCTTACGAAGAAAGTCAGCACCTACTTAGCAACCTGCGAATCCTACAACTGTCTCGTCTTGACCATGATGCTTTTGAGAAAATGAGTGCGGCACCTCCACTACCTGCCTGGTCGGCATGATGGGCAGTGATCAGTGACTCTGGAGCCTCCAGTTTCTCGATTTGCTTCCCTGTCGGCTCACTTTTGTTGTGCTCTGCTGGGGCTGCTGCGTCTTCCATTGCCTGCTCCATTTCGGTACGCCCGTGAGGCGTGCCAGGCAAGGTGACATCGGATTCCCATCTCCGAGATTTCTCCGGAGACTGCTCCAATGCTTCAGCATGAAAACTCTTGCGTTTGTTGGGCACCAATCCGTCGTCATAGACCGTGATTACTCCTGGGCTCACTGTCGAGTCACACTCGGCCTCTCGCTGCACACAGCTGCAGTGAACAACGCCCATTTCGGCAGGCTATTGCCATTGGCAGACTGCATGATCAGTGTGTCCATTGTCATTGTCAGGGCCTTCTGATTGGCTGTTCCGCAGGTGGGAGCTTGTGTTGACGACGGCACGTGATTAGTCTTCGTTTGTCCGAGTCATCACTGCTTGAGGCTGCGGCACCACAAGGATGGTTCTTTGTGCGACACTACGCATCTCTTGCCATGCCACAGGACAGAAAGAAGCATATCCCCTGCACCGACAGCCTTGTTGGGTTCTGCGAATATATCATCTTCCTTTCGCGTCGCACTCTCACCTGCGTCGGAGCCTGCAATGTCTGATGCTTCGCTTCGAGCATGCGATCTCTGTGGCTGAACGATCTCTCAGGCTCGGGGCCCAGACCGAGCAGGTTTCCATAGAGGGAATCCAACATATCTCATCTCAGCTTCGACAAGCTGCTTGAGCCGCCTTCTCTTCTCATGTGCAGTCAGTGCTTAGTGCTTGCGCATGAGTGCCTCGCCGAAACCAGCAAACATGCCCATGCGGCCCATGCCCAAGACATCCCAAGCCCAAGCCCTCTTTTGCGCGCGTCTTTCGCGAGCGCCGCCTTCTGCTCGGTCACGATGTGGAAAAGCTGCAGGCCGCGCCATACCTGGCACCTCAAAATACACTGATCACACTAAGATGCTTTCCGCCCGCTCCCGTCTAAGCCTAAGCCTTGCACATGTCTGGGGAGGTAGCCCGAGATGGTCCTGCGCCCAACTTTCCAAAGTCTTGGCCATGCGACTGACTGCTAGAGCTGCAATCCTGGCCACTGTTCCGCCCGCAGTTCCATACGACCGCAAAGCCTCGCCTTGCACGGACCTGAGGCCACGGTCTCAGTCGCTCCCTAAGGCAAATATGCGATTTAGGAATCAGACTTTCGTGTGAATCTGCGGAAAATGCAACTCCCCGCCACCTTCATCTGGGATGTCCTCAGAAAACGGAGAGAGAGCCGACCGGTTGAAGATGCGGCTTGCCAGATGATCCTAAGCCCCAGAACGTTCAGGAAGAGGTAGACTGCCCGGAAGTCTTCAGCCTTCGTAAAGTTTCCACTGTGTTTGTTCTGTCCGTGTGCTTTGCAGCTGAGGACCAGTGCGTGTGCGGGAGCGCTGGGAGCGGTAATGACCGGCGCTCCGGCACTGGCCTCGCACACTCGCACTGCAAAGAAACTCCTGTATGCAGTGCCATCTTCTGTGAGTGCCTGCTTTGATGGCGCAAGTCGACGAAGCTCCAGCAACCTCATCTTTGCAACCCACGTCGGAGGACGAAACTCACTAGCCGCATGCTGGGGTCTCCGCTCCAGCTGAGATGCAGATCCTGCAAACAAGAACAGATTTCAGCTGTGGGTTTTATAAATGCGTCAAGAGGTGCCCTGGCCTGCAGCTGCTCGCAATCGTTCTTGCAGGTCTGCGAGCAGCTCTTCAACCTCCCTGATTCAACGGCAGCCGGCAACTCCAGTTCGACTGTTCACTGTCCAGCTCAGAGTCTCGCCCATGCGACGCTTCTTCACGTGCGCTGCTCGGCGGAATGCGCCCTTGCTGCTTGTCGACTACATCCATGAGCAAACCTGGCAAGAAGATGTGCCTGTCCTCTGCATGCTGCAGGCATGGTCCAGACATGTCGGACACACAAGCTTCCCGTCCAGAAACAAGGTCCGGCACGACCCATCTTGGAACACGTTGACAATATGCTTGCCGAGAAATACCGGCCAAATTTACTACCGCACCTCTCAGCTCAGACTCCGACAACGCAGGCTCTTTAGATACTCGCAGCCTTCGAAAGCAACGTCCTGTCAGGACCAGGGCTCAAACACCAAGACCAATGCCGACCTTCGGAAGATGGCACGGGATGCAAGCCTTTACAGGCTTGTTAATTGTTCATGCTTTCACCTTAAACCCAGAATCACCCCAACTAGACTTCCACACTCACCAGGAGACCGACAATCTCCGAAAAAGTCAATCGCAAGAAATGCGGCTGACTGCTTGGTGTCACTCAGAGCTGAGGTTTTTAGCGATACGCAATTAATATTGTTCTTATGAAAGAAAACATGGACATGTAAGTCCGAACAATATCGTTAAAGGCCGTAGACGTAGCTGTGCGCACATGTCCACACAAAAAACGCTTTGAAATTTCGACGCTGCAAAAGCAGCAAAACCCCGATGTGCACCGGAATGATGACAAGTCCGGGATGTCGGTCTAACGAGACGATGATTCGAATCGAAACTTCAAAGAACCCAAAGCTAAAGGAAGTCACGCAGCACTTCTCGTCTTCGGTGAAGGGCTGTCACAGTGGCCATGCAGAGCTTTTGCACTGCAGCCGTATATAAGTGAAGAAATTCTGTGGCGCCGTTGGAAACCAACATGCATGGCAAACGGCAGCACGCAAAAGCATCCTACAGAAGGGGGAACCTTAACTTACCTAGTAGTTAAGGATATGATAAGGGCCAAAGCGCGCTTTCGATACGGGTGGAAACTTATATCGGCCTGTTGTGTTTGGTTTTTGTCCCTGGCTTTTTGATGGTCGTTCTAAGGTAAACCTGGTGTTTGGAGGTGTGCCCATGGTACGGTTCCTGGCTGTCGAGATTTTCCTATGGGAAACCTAGGGACCTAGTCTTTGGCGATATTCGTCGGGCGCACCTGGTCTTTAGTGCATCGGCACGCTCAAAACAATGCTGACAAAAAATATATATGTGAACACATATACACATATACATTTGCATATGCATGTACCTCTACAAATACATACTTCGCTTCGTTTCCATACTGCTACGCCTATCCCTGTAATCGACATTGAGGACAAGGCACAATTGGCCTCGGCTTTCAAGCTTTCAGCTGCTGTTTCGCATCCCCGGGCAAAAGAAGAGGAGCTGGGAAGCTTCCGGTGCGCACACCCAAAGCAAAGCTCCCTTCAGCAAAACTAAGCTTGATGGTAAAAGAACAACCCTCAACAAAATCCGGAAAGTGAATGATGCGATCGGAAACAATGTGGTTTCTCTCTATTATTTGTTCACAGCTCTCCCATGTGCATTGAGGCGGAATCTTCCAAACTCAAGCACTACACAGCTCCAGGGATTTCCCATCCGAGCCCCAAGCCATACATACTGGATTCGCATCTTGCGAATAGTAGTGAGTACCGATCGCATGATATGTTTGGGTGAGGTAAGCTAAACCTTCATCGGGAGCAGGTCATTAAGCTCAAATATGGTGAACTGCAAGCCTATGGATGCATCAACAACCAACTGGTCCTCCCGGCATCAGTTGCGGATTCTTATCGGCCTAGCTCTGCTTCATCACACGCAGTCACGAAGACCAGATCACAAGCTCAGCCGGTGGCCAGGGAACCCGATGGACGCTCTGCTAGATGCTGCAGCAGAAGTAACGGGTCCAGCAAGCTCTCCGGGCCTCTGCCTTTGTTTGGAAGCATAGACGACGTACAATCGTAGCGTCTCACACTCTCACAAGTCTGCCTAGCACGAAAAGCAGATTGCTTGCCGGAACACCGTTGATGCGAGGACTTGCAGGCACAGAATCTGCGCCTTACAACGCAAGCGGAGTTCGGGTTAATCGGGTGAAGACGCGCAGTTTGGCAATCCTTCGCAAACGAATCGCCGCATAGGCTTGTCGTTGAAGAAACAGTTGACACCTCAGGCTCTGGATCTGTCTTCTCATGCTTCCTGTGCTTCCGAAAGTTTGGAGATAACAAATAAGCGTCTGGCCGTACTTCGTACCGGTTGTGGGTGGCAGTCCTTGGTGCACCTCCAGTCACTGCAGTCTGCTTGGGCCGTGCTCACGCTGGAAGAATGCACTGTGGTCATGCATGTCATGCATCCTGCTTCTTTTCGTCACACGTCAGTCTCAGTAGAAACATCGGGTCGGAACATGTAAACCCAATGGCAGCTAGAAACAAAGAAGCCGAATTCTCGCTGCAGCGAACCGAGGTGGTGCGCGAAAGACGTATTGCCTATCGCAGACTTTGCACCTTCGGCCTCACAGCTTCTGGCCACTCTCACCATTTCATGTTGCGAAGTAGCTATGAACTCATGCAGAATGACATGCGCAAGTCTCTTCAGCGGCATGTCGAAACTCCCTTTGAATTACGGATCTCTCCCAGAGTGGCTCCACACAAGCCATGCCCACCCTCACGGCTACCACACGAGACTTGATGAGCATTCATCCCAGTGCCGCGAAAAGGGTTGATGTTGCTTGCCTTGTCATCGAACATGTAGACTTCTGCCTTGGCAACACCCAGCTCGGAAGCTAGCCGCGCTGCATGGCGTGCTTTGCAACCTCCATTGCAGCCAACCACAGATTCTGAGACTGGCAAATTGGGTCGACGATGCGGATGAGCTGTGATGGCCCGCACGTGGCAACCGCCACAGAATGTGTGCCATAAGTTCTGGCCCAACTGTGAAAGCGTTAGTGATCCTCCCCCATATGCATCGTCGTAACTTCCATGAACGACCCTGTTTCCTGGGCAGCTGTGCGTATCACCTTGTCTTCCAGTCAGCGTCCTGTCAGCGAAGCTTGGGGTCGAAGGCAGGCCAAGGCTTTCGGGCGACAGGCCTTGAGCTTAGGGGGGTTCCTGCATTTTCCCACAATCCCGACTATCCCCATCAGCCCCATCCTGTCAACGTCGAAAATGCAGAGGCAGGACCTGCGCTTGACGTCGGCACCAGTGTCGTTCCGGCTGCTGTCAGAGGAGTTGCCGAACATGCTCTTCCAAGTAGATTTGAAGAAGTCGAAGCTGTTTCTGACATACTCCGTAAAGTTTGCAACCTCGACAACCGGCTGGGTCCAGCTCACGTTACCTCAGCAACTCTTACATGTCTTGGATATGGCACAAAAACAACACATTTGCAATCTAGAATCTAGAGCATCAGGCTGGAATGATTGACACAACACGCCAACACGCAGCCTGGCTGCGTCCGGTCAGTGACAAAGCAGCTGCGGAGCTGGTGTTGGAGCTGTTCCCTCTCGCCTGTGCACAGCTTTAATCAGTGGCTTGTTCACGGAAATTTCATTGAACGGCATGGAATGGAGCATCTGTTGATTTTTAGATCCAGTCCTCCAAGGGTAGCGTGGTACTTTCGATGATGAGATGATGGGATTGCGTTTATTTTCCTCAAGTCTGACAACGACGGAACAACCCTTGCTGTTAGAGATCATGCAGTTTTGGTTCATTGCCTACGCGTTCAAACTGTCCGGGTGCCGAACTCTCATCGGAGCAGTGTGCTGTTATATGTCACGAACGCGCAACGAGATCCTCCAACTCACGATTGTGGCAAAACTGCGATGCTTGAGATGATTGCGGCCTCCGGTGCAGACCCGTGGTGATGCGTGCACACAGGTGACGAAGGCTTGCATGCTGGATAGAGGCCTACAGTTTACCGCAGATACACGACATGCAGTCGGTCCCCGAATTGTGCAGGCGGCGACAGAAAACGGAAAGCTTCTTTTTGGTAACAACAAGCAGGACTTTGTAGAGAGAAGTGTCAACCAGTTGCCTCGTCGCCTCTCAGATTCCTGTCCTTAGCGGCGCATCCAAAGACTGTGAAGCACGATACCAGAACATCAACGCAAGGAGAAAGGAAAAGGTCCACAGAGCTCCGACTCTGACTCTGGACCTGAGACGCAGGCAGATGCAGATCCCATCACAGCCACAGCCGCAAGAATGGTGACGAGCAGAGCCATCTTCGGATCCTGCGGATGTTGATGAGAAAATGATGTCGACGTCAGCATTCGTGACCCGACCTTGCCCCAGAAATGGAAAGGCCACCTCGCCCTAGCGGGGCGTTTGCTGTACAGCGGTTTGGAGCCAAAGACTGCTCCAGTTGGACAGAGAGTCGCTCTCGAGACAGAAGCAACAGCGCAAGCAGGTGCGAGGAGCTGCAAGCAGTGCATCGAACTTGGCATGCGAGGCGGCGCACCATTCGCTTGTCCTCCTGTTGAGGACCCAGCACATTGCTCCACATGACCTCACGGGGCATCGCTTCCGGGCTTCGGGAGACAAGGCCACGAAGCTTGGAAGAACTCCTATCTGGGCTCCAGAGCTGCACAGCCCCGGCGAGGCACGATCTGTTCACACTCGAACTGCATCGAAGAGTGGAAGGGTGCTGTTTGAAAAATGGCGGGCCTTGAGTCGCAGCTCCGGAAACATTGTCTCACCGCCGTCGCCAGGTCTCAGGATGCCCGGATTCTGGCAACGTTTAGTCCAACTCAAGTCTGCACCAAGCCACGCGATATCGTTGAGATAAACGAAGATTGTCTTCGGACCTTGCCATGTTTATCAGCATATATGCATCACAGGCCTGCGAGCCCTCACGCAATGAGTGGACACGATCCTGCTGAGTTCAGGCTTCGACGAAACCGTCCATCATGATGCTCGTTGAAGAACTGCCCCGGCAAATACCTGATAAAGATGCAGCATGTTGCAGCATTGCAGTGATTCAGAGAGAGTCTGTGGTGTCGTCAAGGACCCTACCTGACCATATTGAGGGGCTCCAAGAACTTGACGTCCATACCCTAGGCCCCCAGGCCCCAGGTAAACCCCTTGCGAGCCTGGACATCGATGTAGCATGCAGTGTTGTGCTAGTGTAGACAGGCTGCACATTTCTGAGGAGCCCTCCGCGAGAGCAGCAAGCCGATGTTCGATCTCAGTCACGGCGGCGAGGAGTTTCGACAAAGATCTCCCACTAGGCAAGTTTGTCCAGAAGTCCTACTACTACAAGACCAGGAACAGTACCACTACTCTGCATGTGCAGCACTGATTCTGACGGACATTCTGAGCCCACGGCTGTTGTGATGGTTTCACTCTGCCCTGGCTCTATAAGGCAGGAGTAAGACGTGCGTATCTCAGAGACCTGGTTCGCCTAAGTCATCACGTGCTTCGCCATGAACCAAGCAATCAATCAGACTGCCAAGGTCGTCACCAAATCCTGCCCTTCGTCTTTTGTACGGTAGACTCCCTGTCCCACCTCTTCAAGGGCTCCACACACGTCCAAGGAAGCCATCTTCCACATGTGTGCACTGGCTAGAGATCGGGGCCTCTGACGGTTCCCAGCCTCGGGAACTGTCCAACTGAGACAAGATCTTGTCGCAGACATGTCGCTGTCCACATGGGACATGACCATGCATCGTCACCCACACAGACTTCAGCTTAGCAAGCGACCAGATTCGGCAAAGTCGATCAAATGTTGAATCTCGGCCTCAAAAAGGCCCCAAAACAACTTTACTGCCAAGCAGCCGTTTGTGGTAACGAGGCCGAAAAGCCAGTATTGCCGCAAAGCCTGTTGAAGAACGGCTTGCCAACACAACTCTCGCAGTCATCTGCTGGACAAATCCTGGCAATGGAAGGCACTGCTGGACGGACGATAACAAACGGTGATCCTAATAGTTCAGTAGTTTGGCGACCACTGCAACAAGCGAGGACGTGCTTTCGAAATACGGGTTAATACGTACGAAACATCCTTCAACTTCTGCATCCTGCGGAACCAAGCTCAGGAACACGCTTCATCCAAGAAGTCGCGCACCAGAAGCACCTGTCAAACACAATTTAGCAATTGAACCTGAAATGGAAAGCGAGCCTCGGGATCTCCGAATATGTTCATCGCTGTCAAAACTCGGCGAGAATCGACCTCGTTCCACATGAGGTCTGAAGTAGGGATGCATCGCACAAATCTTGCAGCTGATGCAACTTGAGGCGAAAACACTGTTGCCCACGAGTGTTGCCCGACTCTCTGGTTCAATCTGGCAATGCGTCAACAACTTCAACACGACGTCATGCATCTCGCCCACCTCGATGGGATCGACGACCATCTCTTCTTGATCTTCGTGGCATTCTGTCTCAGATATGACAAGAACATCTGTGTGAAGATTTTCGCCGAATGTGAAACCAAGGCCTGCATCGCTCTCCATCAATGAAAGAATAACTACATCGTAACTACAACATGTTGGTTCGAAGGGCTTCGTTCGAAGGGCAGTCAAACTATTTCTGCTAACGAAACATACGAAACATTCATCCAGCTCCTACTATAACGGTATCAAGAAAATACTTGCATGACGTAACTCAAACGTGCCGCCACATCAACAAACTCCACAACATGTCGTGTCTTCAAAACCTTGACCGCCTGCCTTCGGATCAAACTCCAAATGCACACCTTTATAACTGTCCTCCGATCAATGCTAAATTCGTTGTCTGTGAGCCGAAATGTGGTCAACTCGCTTTTCAACACAAAAAAAAAGGCAGACTGGTAAGCCCACGACGCTGTCTCGCCAGCATTCTTGGCCGTGCGCAACAAACAGCCGCCACATCTCTTAAGAAATGCAAAAAGGAATCTCAAGCTTTGATGGCAATATTGCTTCAGTGGAGTCGGCCGCTGAGTGTTACCGTTGGTTCTGTCTTCGCACCGCAGGACGGTACTCTAGGCAACGCTGCTTGTGTATCGGTTGAACAGCTCTTCTCCATTTTCCCTGGCAATGACCTAATACGGAGCATCTCCGTTGTCACGTCCAACCGTGAATGGACAGCCTTGCTTGCTGGGCTGCTGGGCTTTATATACGCCTCCTTTTCCTGATAGTGTCGCAACTCCCCCATGTTTTACGTGGACGGAGACTGATCACTTATCAGGAGGATGGAGAAACGACCAGAGCCCTCTACCTTGACCCGCCTAGGGAGACCTTTGAGACTCTTGCGATTGTTCTTCCTGGAGCCATCTCCCTTCCAGTCCTGCTGCGGCAAGGAGCTCCCCCTCCGTCCTCCAATCTTTCTTTCGGGCAACGTTCATACCTGTCCAAATCACCATGCCCTCGGCCGAGTATGAAGCAATTGTTAGCTACACTGACTCGTCGTGGTCAGTTGTTCTGCAGGTTGACTGGGAACAAGGGGTAGCTCAATGTCTGTTTGGGATCGGTAAAAAGCCGTTAGTTGAGCTTGCAATTCTGCCCCTTGCCCAGGCTGTATTTGCGGCCGTCTTTGACCGCATCGGAGGGGCACACATTCCTGATGAGTTTTGGAACCTTCGGACAGGGAAGCTACAGCCTGAAGCTGATCTACTCCACATTGTCCGACGCGCCTTCTCATACGCCTTCTACCATAGAGCCGTTGTCACTCTGTATCAGGCCGAATGGCTCGAGCAAGGGGGCGCTAACATCCACACTGTACTACAATTTCCAACACCACCGCTACCCCAGGACCCAAGACACGTTGCCATTTTTCGCATACAGCCAGCAGCAACATATGATGCGGCATATACTATTATTGTCGGCTGTGGCACAGCCGAGGCAGGTAGAATCGCTCTGTCAGGAGGATGACCCGGTCTACACAGTGTCTTATCGACCCCCTCATTAGGGGAGCTGCGTTGTGCTGCGTTCGTATTGTTGCTGCTGGCTGTAAACCATTCAAAGGCTGTCGGGTCCGCACCTTCTCTACTGTCCTTCACGCTGATCAAGTACCACCATCATTCCACAGCCTCTCCAACCTACACAATAACTTCCCCTTTTTAACGAGTAGCCCTACCCTCTCTTCGAGAGACGTATTGCATTCTTTAGGAGTTCTTCAGGAGGTGTTGCAGGACGTCTCTGTCAGGACTGAAGGCTCCGAAACCCCGGCAGGCACCCTGCTCCGGCTTCTGACGGGACGATACCTCCCGGCCGTTGATGGAGATTGCTACACGACGGCACTAGGCGACTGTCTCTGCTCTCTCGCGCATGCTGTGCTTCAGTATAAGCGGCCCACACGGCACGCCCGAACGGCACTGAACGTGACCTTGTCGACGTGGAATGTTACTAGCCTGCGCACATGGGACAGCACGTCATCGTCTGTCAAAATCAGGATGATTGCTGCCCTTTTGAAGCAAGGGCCCGTTTGCCTTCAAGAAACCAACTGGACAGCGCGTGAGGTTGAGATCGCGGCTGTTACCTTCCCGAGGGCAACTATTCTCAGCACACTCGCCAGAGGTGAAGGCAGCGCAGGTGTTTCCATCATTGTGCCCCCTCCCTTCCGAGTGGATAAACAGCATGAGATCCTGCCGGGTTTTGCGCTGGCGGCTGAGATCTCCCATTTTGACCACAAATGTGAGATTTTGTCCGTCTATGCGCACCCACAACGATTAGTTGAAGTTGCCTCAGCGATACAAAGCTATCTCACAACGCGACATGCGGGAGTTCAGCTTTTCGTCGCTGGTGACTTCAATGGCATGAGCAGTAAACAGCCTGATGCTTGGGATCTTCTGATATCGGAGGGACTCCTACGACAGGTCTCCCTGCGAGTGGATACCTATCGATCAGGTGCTCACGCCTCACACCTGGATCTCATTTTGCATAACGAGCATGCGGAAGGAGCGCGGAAGTTCCAAAGCAGGGTTTTCTGGTCTAAACACTTGCCCAGTGGACATGCAGTTGTTACCCTACGAGCATCGAAAGCTCGATTGCTTGTCAATGATGTGCAGGCTGTTAATTATTCCGCCATCCCCGTGCGCGCCTTTAAACAACACCTGCACCAGCCAGCAATGGGTATCCCCGCGCGTAGTTCGCACCCCGCACAAATCAGGCTGCAACGCATGGCGTGCCTCTTGCCAACGGCTCCCTCGCTTGCGGACTTGCAAAGCCTCTTCCACCTTTGGTGGCGACAGGAGCTGCCCTCGCAGTCTGATGCTGTACGTAACGGGTTATTGGGCGCCCTGCCCTACCTGCTGCGCAGGCAACGCACTAAGCCGACTGCCGAGACTTTCGAGATTCCTTCTCAAATTTTCGATACGAATCGCCACCTGCTAAGCCATTGTAGATTTACTACAGATGGCCGAGCGGGAATTCTCACGCAAGTGGAGTTGCAACAGATTGTAGCACAGCTCACTGTGTTGGAAGTCGCCCAACTTGCGCCACCACCGGCTATTAGCGACGCCAGAAGGTTAGGCTCCAAGTTGCCGGCCAGACACCCTAGGTCCCTAGGTGGGACCTGCATCGAGCAACCCTCGGCACCTTCGGGGTAAACCAAGTGTTGCTCCCATCAGGCCAACCTTGCAAGTCCTCAGGGGAAGTTGACCGAGCTCTTAGAGACACCAGGGCGTTCTGGCAACAACTGCCGCCGGATCATTGCAGTGAGTGGGATCGCATCTTACGGCAATATAATCCGTCCAACGCTGCTAAGTGTCGTATGCCCAGCTTTGACGACATACTACAGCATCTGCTCCGCACGGGCGACTCCGCAGCTGGTCCGGATGGCTGCCCTTATGAGTGCTACCGCAGCATGCCGCTCGAATCCACAGCTGCACTTGAGAGGCATCTCTGCTACATTATATTAGGTCGGGCACCGCCACCCACGCAGGCGCTCACCTTTATTCCCAAGGCGGATACGGGACATTACACTGACAACTTTCGCCCGTTGGACATGCCGGATACTGCTGCCCGTATCATCGACGCTGCGGTCTTTACTTGCCTCATGCAAACCTTCTGCCCACTCCTTCACCAATCGCAGGCCTTAGTCTCTGCTATGAAGGAAGCGCCTGCCAACTTTCTTACCATGCAAGATGCTTTATGGGCACAGGACTTTGACTCTGTCGTCATGCTAACCGATATTGGCCAAAGCCTTTGAGCGGGTAAACCCGGGATGGCTACTTGACGTCCTTCGGTGTCTTTCGGCGCCTCATTGGGTAACCCAGTACGCTGTCCATCTGCTGTACGGGCGGCGCTCGCTTCATCGCATTCAGGGGTTCCTGCTCCCTCCCCTTCGCATAAGGCAAGGTTCAGCGATGGGCAGAGCCACCTCCGTCCTCTTTTTCTGTATTGCTATGGACCCCCTAATTTGTAGCCTACACCGCATCCCGCGCGTGCGACTCCTTAGGGCGTACATGGACGATAACTCGGAGGGGAGTGACGTCGGGTGGATCGAGCAGGCACAGAAGGATTTCATTGCACTCGAGGAAGCTGGATTTCATGTTCTACAACATACCTGCTTCTCCGGAGGACGTGCTACCGACCTAGGTAGTGTTCATGATACACTCAATGCCGCTGAGGGGATTCGTTTGTTGACGGATGACGAAGTCAGTCAAATCGCGCGGCGCCCGAATCCGGCTGGTAGTGAGGGCGCGCCTAGTTTTCTGGCTTGGTGTCGGCAAATACGGGAGGTATGTCGGGCTCCTCAAGGTCCCGCTGTCGAACGGTTCTTCTGTACCGCTGGCGAGCGGTCGGCACTTGTGCCGCGCCACGTTATTGATTCTCATGCTGAGGGGCACGCGGGGGAACTTGAGTTGGTGCCACCTGCACTTCTGTCCTCTCCGTGTAAATGCAAGTGTAAGTCGTCTCTCTTGTTTCGGGTGTCGCCCTCCGAGAGCCAACTCTACAGGTTGGATCGGACACCATGGGGGACTAAACTCTGCACGGAACGTGCATCGGTGTTAGGTTTCTCGCTCTTGGGAGACCCCAATTGAGATTGGCGGGAATGCCACTGCGACGGTTCTTCCTCTCCAGCAACGGCAGCTTACCGGAAATAAAGCTCTTTCGAGCATTACACGCAAGCGGCGACTGTTCCAACCACTCAGACAATCACTACCGGAAAGGGCTCTATGCTGCAGAGCTTATTTATCGAGTTGCTTGCATTACACACAGCAGGTCATCCCACCGATCCCCACCACCCAGGAACGCATATTGGCGAGAAATGCGCAATTTGTCCTAGGCAGCCGCGCCTGGCTACAGTCGAGGCACTTGGAAGGGACGTTTAGAATCTTCAGGTTGCCCCAACCGGGATCATGGTTTTTCGATGCACCAGCCAACCGCCTTGGATTTTTGCTGCGGTACGAACCTAATCTCGCCCTCATGGCCTT